AAATGAATGCAGTTTGTTTGAAAAATCATCTATATTTGAGGTGTTTTTTTTTAAAGCTTCAGCTTATTTTTACAAATTTTTCCGAAATTTGAAAATTTCTTCAAGTTCTGAGTGTGTAAAAAAATTGACTAAATTCATTGTTCTAGAGTAATTTCAAGAAGCAGAAAAAAGATAATTCTAAATGCTGCCGTTCTCCTAAAAAATACAGACTTTGCTAGATTTCAAACTCAGCTAACCATTTCTATTGAGGGTTGTACAATTGTAACGAGGAAAGAAAAATATGATCTCTTAAATCCCTTACATCTAAATTCATGACATGTGAGCAAATATACTTTGAATATTTCATCTAGTCAAAAACCAGACAAGAACCCCCCTCAAGGTTTTATATAGCTCTTAATGTGGAGAGTGCAACGGAAGTTGAATGTTTGGATGGCCGAGCCTCTTCTGGAGCCTCTCTGCAACCATGAACAACATTGACCCATATACGAAAAGAAACAATACTTATATTATTATTGAATCTTTTTATTTTGTAAGAGTTAAACATTTTTCGTCAGCATTGATTTGATTTGAACATAATTTATTGTACTAAATATACACAGTGGGATTGGGCACAAGTTCTAAAAACTTAAATCGCCCTCTCCCTACATGAGATATTATAACAGGGTGAATTAGAAGTGTTTGCCAGTTTGTACAAAATAGATTACAAGTAAATTAAATAAACTCTCAATGTAGACATACATATACTGCTACATAATTGTTTATACAAATATTTATAAAAATGAGTACAATCAGTTAAATCTACCAGAAGGCTGAATATAAGAATGTACAGTAGAAAATAGATTTTCATTTTCAGCAACACAGAGTGATGTATCCCCCCAGAGTAAAGTCTGAATGTCAACAATATGGACTTTATTAAATCTCAAGAACTTATCGAAAAACTCTTTCCTGGCCTCGTTGTAGTCAGTATCCATATCATTCTTGATATAACTAGAAAAAGCTCACCTTCCATGTGAAGAATAAAGTATTGATAGTATTTCAAAAGGGAAACATTTAAAAAGACTAAATGTACTTGAATACAGGTGGCTATCATAAACTTGTGTATGTTGAAATTTTCTTGGTTTGAAAAAATCTTCAAAATTAAAAGGCAGAAAAAAATTAATTTTTTTCTATCACTAAAGGGGTGCGGGACTCTGACTGCTGGAACTTGAATGGTAGATGTCAATATACATATGAACCTTGTTTCCAGTACAAACCAGGATACTGTGCTGGGCCAACCAATAGACAATGCTGTGTGCGTGGTAAGCAATGCTACAATATTTTTTTAACACTATAAATGCATAAAAAGACCTTTTTTTTCTAAATTAAACCCAATAAACATCATTTCAACAAGACTTTCTTTTGAAATAAAAAAGATACCAATTTGGTGCAATGGGATAACTATTTTCATACCACAATACATTGAATTTATCATGACAAAACATGATGATAAATTACATTATCAATAACATTTCAAAACTGTGATGATGATAAAAAATAATTAAACATCACTTAATCTCAAATCGCACTGTAAAACGGTTTGAGGATTTTAAAAAGTGCTTCAAATTTTGAATTGAAGATTTTCTACGTTGTCATTCAAGGAAAAATTACGCTAAAAATAAAATAAAATGATGAATTTTTAACGTTGATAATGATTCCTTTAATACACTGCATGAAATTGTTTACAGGAGCGGATTTACAGTGTTGGAGGGCACGTGGCATCTGCCAAATGAATTGGAAACGCTGTAGTGGCAAATATCTGAGAGGTTTATGTGGCGGAGGTCTATCTCGCCAATGCTGTGTATAATTTCCTTTATCTTGAAAATTAAACCAGTATGATTGTATCAATTTTGATTTTTGTATGCAATTAAGGTAAAGGCAGTTAGGTAAAACATATTTATGTACAGGTAAACTGTCATTGAGCGCCTTAAGCTCAGATTTTTATCCACCACTTCGAGCATGACTCGATGATAGTAAAATATGAATAGAAAAAATTAATATACCCTCCATAATAGTACAGTGACAAACCTAGAAAAAGATTCTTATTTTTTTAGTTTAATGGATCAACATCCCCACGGCTGAAAGTTATATGTTATGAAGAGACGATCATCCCATTTTCGCCCTTTGGGGGGGGGGGGGGGGCAGTGGTTAGAGCGTTTGCTCTGGAGTCGCAGAGTAAGGAGTTTTGACTCAATGGTAAATTGTATTTGCTGACAAGGTCATTGCATCGATCATAGAACGTACAAAATGTATACTTTAAACATTTAAACTAGACTGCCGATATTTTTGTTTATCAACTTGTTTGTCAATAATTTACCCCGTTTTAGAAACTATTCGTACGTAGAGCATGCTCTTGCGTTTCGAATCAAGTACATGTAAGCTATATAAACCCCGTATGCAGGTGATAAAGGAATATTACTGCATAAGTAAAGGAAGTTGACGATAGAAATGTTAAAGTCATCATGTTTATAATAAAGCTTGTTGTTAGATTACTATTAACGTCTTTTTTTTCAAATAAAATATCCATATATGAAATAAATGTGTCAGACTCTGTGGTATCTTTTATCTCAAGCTCACCAGGATATATCATATCAACATAAGAATGAAAATTACCTTTGTTAATTGACAGTACGTCGTCGATATATCTAAATGTCGAGTTGAAGGCCACAGCAAATGATTTCTTTTTCACGCCTAAAAATTTGCACAAATTCATATAATAAAATAACGAACACATAACAAGCTCCACGGTAAAACTTGTCGAATCCGGCCTGCACTGGTTCCAAATATTTACCGAATTAGACAGCATCCCGGATTACACAACATCTAAAAAATGACATCGAGGGAGACTTGAAATTTACTAATGGTTTATTTTATGAATATAAATTTATTACATTTTTACCCGTGAAATACTGTAATTTATTCATTGAATAAAAATGATATCCTGTCACAGTGTGAAAGGATATCAAAATGATATCCTGTCACAGTGTGATGAATATCAAAAGTGCGGGAAAACTCTCGATTTCCCTTCCCATAACGAAGATTCCTGTAAAAAAAATCTTTCTTGACCTAATGTAAGATAGATGAAAATAAATAAACCACTCTGACAGCGAATAAAACTGTTAAAATTACCAAAAATATGTTGCTAAATCCATGTTTATAGTGTTTTTACCTCACATAGCTATGACGTCTCAACAGCTCAACTATGACGTCACGAGCATATGATTGTATAACAAAAAGACAGAGGCAAAGGGAAAATCAAATATTTTATTTCTTTTAAATGTAATAAACAGAAAATTCAATGTTTTGTAGTTGAATATGGAATTTATTTCACGAGTGGGACAGGGTTTTTGATATTTTCTCGAGTGCGAAGCACGAGTGAAAATATCAAAAATCCTGTCCCACTCGTGAAATAAATTCCATATTCAACTACAAAACATTGAATATCCTCTATATACACATTTTATACATGTTTATCTAATAATTATGGATCGGAAACATGTTTTTTCATTATTAACAATAAACCAAATCTGTAAAATCACCATTTTCATTAATAAAAGCGAAGACTTTAAAGATACCATGAAGCTCTTATTTACGTAACAGCTGCAATATATCCTGTTTTTCACCATCAAGGTCGCCAAACAGTGCCGAATGTATAAAAGGAAAATACATCGATTTAGCAAGTTCATAAGTTCAGAAATGGCATTCAAGAACGAGTCAGTTGTAATGTTCTATTTGGTCATTCTTTTGTTCAGCAGCCCATGTCTTCTCATAGTAAAAGGTAAGATAGTCTGCTTCCATTTAAAAATAATTCTTTAATTTGTATTTGTATAATGAAAAATGTAATATTTCTTACATGTATATACTCTCTTTTCATGTTCAAATGCATTTGGAAAATGGTCTTTGACATTTGAAATAATTGTTTGTCTCATTAAAAAACGACAGGAAAATTCAGTTGTATGATCGTAAAGTGATGGTGTCAACGTATGAGTTAGGAATGTCATTTATTTTCCTTCGTAAGTTTTCCTTATTGTTTTTTAAGTAATCAAACAGTTGAGGATTAAGGAAATCCCGCTTCTGTTAAAAAGGAGGCCCATGGGCCACATCGCTGTCCTAAGCACAAGTGTATGGGTTAGAAAAAGCACAAATCAGTTCAGTATTTAATTTTTTGGGTGGGTGGGGTTGAATCTTATACTACTTAAGGATGCCTCTATATCAATATAGCATATAACTTTGCTGTTCTTGAAAAGAAAATTTCCAATTTTTTCCCTACATATCACAAATTATGGCCCCTTCCTACTCCAACCCTAACCGAATGTTCAATACGTGAGGATGCTTACATGTCAATTGACTAAATATAGTTTTTTTTTCTGTTTTTGAGAAGATTTTTTCCTAATATATATTCTTATGCAAAACTTCGATCTATCATTATTGTCACTTAATACCCCCAGGGGGTCAGGATTTAACAAACTTGAATCTTAACCACCTGAGGACATTTCCATTAGTTCCATAAAAATTATTAATCATGGTTTTGCTATTCTCCGGATGATTAAAAAAATATTTTAAGATACATTCCTTATACTATGTAAAACTTTAATCCCACAATGTGGGCTCCCTACCCTTAGGGGTTATGATTTGAAAAATCCTAAATCTACACTGACTGGGAGTGATTCCTTCATGGCTTTGTTGTTCTTAAGAAAATGTATAAATATTTCCCCTATATAATTCCATGTGAAGCTTTGATTGTACATTATTGCCCAACACTAACACAAGGATATTCTGTGCTAATTTTGGTAAACCGCTGTAATTGGCCCTGTGGGTCTTGAGGAGAAGATGAAAATATGAAAAGTTCACAACAAGGATAACGGGACAATTTTGATCAGAAAAGCTCACTTAAGCCTTTGACATTTTTATGAGCATTTTCAATTATTTAACTATTGGTTTTCTGAGCTCTAACTTAAAATATTACTTCATTATAGAGTAAGAAAGTATTTGTGTATATGGAGAATGTAGATTTCTGATTTTTCTTAAAGACATGTGTGTCTATTTCAAACATAAAAATATCATCTGGTAATCTTTATAATTTTTTTTACTTATCTGTCTTTTTGTCAAAGTAAAAGAAATTCTGAAAAATATGAAGTATTGTTAATCATCTAAAATGGCTAAGACATAATGAATGTACTTGAATGCAGTTGATTTTATGAATGTTTATGTTGACATTAAATTCTTTTGGTAGTTTTATATTTATTGATTACTTTTTTTTACTTAAGGGGATGACTCTCAATGCTGGGCCATAAATGGTAGATGTCTAAGTATGAATGAATCTTGTTTCCGTTCTATAAAGAGATACTGTGATGGGGAAGATAGAAAATGCTGTCTTTCTGGTAAGGAAAACCTACAATGTTTTTTGAAGACGGATGCGAATACATATGAAAACCTTTTTCTTAATTATACCGTAAATACCATATTTTACAACGATTTACTTAAGTACAGATGAAACAAACAATTTTTTTTCTTTGGAGTAAACTGAATATCATCCCGCATGCCTAGAAAAGTGGACAATTCTTTGAATTTTTGCTCCTTAGTCTTGGAAAATGAAATACATTTATAAACTAGATGCTGTCATGAGACAGTAATACCCGCACTAAGGTGTTTGCCTCTAAATGCACACTTCTTCATATTGGGCTTTACCAAGGGAAAAGTCAGTATAATTCAATAATTTACATAATACATGTATTCATCAAATTGAGCATAATATGCTCAGGTGACCATGTAGCTGCAGATCTGCAGCGTTATGGTTTTATATATTTGACTTTGACCATAACGCTACAGATCCCCATATGCAAAAAAGGTGCAATTTACGGCGCAATATTTTTTGCACACTCTTGGGCAGTTTTTCTCCACTTTCTAGCATTGGTCAATCAACTACCTTTCACTCCCTAATTTTAGACTCATTCTGTAGCCAATATGTATATTTTGTCCACCTCCCAGCCATTTAATGATTTATAGTCATCTCTACAGGCAAAAAACTCGCTTGATGTGAATTTTCAGCAATCTAACAAATAATTTTAATCAAGCGAGTTTATCACGTGTAGAGACGACTATAAAAGGATTGGAGATGGATAAAATATACAGATTAGTTAAACAATGTGCCTAGAATTAGGGAGTGAAAGGTAGTAAATTAACCGATGCTGGAAAGTGGAGAAATTCTCCCCAGAAGTGCGCAAAACGTATTGCGCCGTAAATTGCACCTTTTTTGCATATGGGGATCTGTAGCTTTATGGTCAAAGACTAATACATGTATATAAAACCATAACGCTACAGATCTGCAGCTAGTGACCATGTGACCCATGGGAATCCATCTTATTGGTATTTCATATTCATAATTGATTACCAGTCGGAAATTAAACAACAGAATTAAATTAATGATGTAATTAGGTTTGATAAAGGGGGGGGGGGGGGGGGTGTATAAATTTTTGGCACATGCTGTATAAGTGGAAATTTTAGCGAAACGCAAATTTAGCGATTTCTACCTAAAATCTGGTATTTTATTTTTAGCGAGAAGTAATTTTAGCGATTTTAAAATGCTAATTCAAGAAGCTTTTACAAATGATAAGCAATTAATTTTCAGTGGTATTCAATTTTAGCGATGTCAGCACCCTCGCTAATAATGCCAAAATTAAATCCTCGCTAAAAATTCTACTTGTACGGTAATTGGAACTTTTTAAATCTATTTTCTAATATAGATTAACAAAAAATAATATTATTCAAATTAGTGTAAAGCGTTTTTGATGAATTTTTCAAAATGTGCAAAGTTTATTTATATTTGATTAGGCAGAAACTTCTTGAAAGCTGCCATATACACAATCAATTTAGTCATCCCCCACCCCTCTCCCATCAACACACACACACAAACACACCTTATTTGCCTGTTTTTGGAAATAGGCCTAAACATCTTTTGTAATTTTCAATTTGTTCTTGCACTATACATGTATCTGAACACCTGCATCACATTGGGCTTGCGTCACGTTCCCAACTTAAGTACTAGTTTTACCACTGGCATTATCATTTTAGATTTCACTGCACGTGCAGTAGGCTACTATAGTGTGCATCATTGCATAGGCCTATATGTCAGTAGGAATTATTTCATTTTGTGCTTTAACTGGATTATATTTCATGAAGATGACAAGGCCTAATTAATGACAATCGGTAAGTACAAGTTTTGGTATAGATTTGGGTAAAATAGTCTGAAATGCAAACGGTTAGGTTCAAGTTTAAAGGATCAAAGGTCATCCGATGCTACAATAGATGAATTTCACATTCTGAAGAGTTATCCCCCGTTATCAACGTTACATTCAGTTACAAGATCCAGAGTTTTTTTTCTGGGGGGGGGGGGAGGGCCAGACCAGAATTTCCTGAGAAGCAAAAAAAGAAAAAGAAGAAGTTATGGTTGGGTCTGTTTTCTAGGGTGGAGGGACACTTAGGGCATTCAAAGTCATTTTTACTTCCTCCAGTATAATTATTATAGTCCTGCAAATTCCAGGGGGGGGGGGGGGTTGAGGGGGCGATCTCCCAATCCACTTCCCTGTCCCTGTAATGACAAATGATCATGTGACTCCTAAATAGTAGGAAACTTTTTCCATTTGACTATACATAATTTTGTTACTTGTGTTATTATGTTATGTAAATTTAATGGTATAAATGTTATGAACCCCTGGAGGTCATCCCCACTCTCCTAATGAGCTGGAAATGTTCACAATATGACTGCATTAAATTAAATAAAAGTGCATCAATGATAAGATTACTTGACATTTTATTCATGAATTCGTGTCAACCTGTCTTCCTAGAATTAGGAAATCATTCAGAGATGGACCACATTAAACTCTTTGTATAAACATTTTTTTTTAAATGTAAAAACAAGTAGTAGTTTGCATACATGAACAAACAGGGGTCTGGGAAGGGATGAGGGGAAGGATCGAGTTAATATTTCTTTACGCCTTAATGGTTGAAAACTCCTAAAATGAATGTTGACCTCAAATCTAATTTGTCCTCATTATTTTTCAAGTGGTGGTGTCTCCATATGAGTGAAAAATTCCTGAGAGGGATGTTTAACAACAAACAAAATGACATAAAAACACAATATTGATTTGCGTTAAGAAATATGCAGGGGATTTTTTCCATCATAAATTTTCTTCTCAAGAACAGCAAGGGCATTATTGTCCTCCATTTTGGGGAAAGGGAGGGGACATTAAATCCCATTTGTCTGTCAGTCTGTCCATCTTATTGACAGTTAGTATGTGCATCTGTCACAATAAATTTAACCTTGGTCATAACTTTTGAATAATAAGAGATAGTGCTTTCATATTTCACATGTACATTACCACAAAACTTTCTAAATATACTATGATTTTTTTAACCCAAGTGAGACCTTGACCTTAAAGTTTTACCTACTTTCCAAAAAAAAACATTTTTAATTGATCATTTTGAAAGAGAAAAGAAAGGGCATTCAAATTATACATGTTTATTACATGTGAAAAGACTTTTCTAAATATATCATGACTTTTGACTCTGTGACCTTGACCTAGAAGTTTAACCTACTTTTCAAAAATATATTGTTTATACAACTTTTGATTCAAAAGAGATAGGAATTTCATATTTGACATGTACAACAAAATGTTTCAGAGCATGCTATGATTTTTCCCCTTTGACCCAGTTTTCAAAAATTGATATATGATAGGGGTGCATATTTGACACACAATCTGCCATAAATTATAGCATCCCATTCACTAAAACACAGAAAGCAGAGGACCACAATTCTTTGAATTTGCTTGTATAATCTTGATATATGGAAACATCCTCATATAATGTAGATTCAAGTTTTTTATGCCACACCATGATTAGGAATGCATGTATAGTTTTGTCATGTCCATCCTCCACCCTTCCATCTGTCTTTCCATTGGGCTCAAAGAAACTTTCTAGATATTTGTATCAAAGTTCATATGTTGATGCATACTGATGTAAATATCCAACTGCAGCAATATTTTTTGACTTTGACCTTTCCTTTGACCTTCACTTAACTTTTCTTTAAATTAGTGTTTAGCTTTATTTTAAAGAAACCCTTCAAGTTGTGTAATGAAACTTCACATGATGATACATACTGATGTAAGCTTTACAATGCTTCACTCTTTTTTACCTTGACCTTTCCTGTGACCTTGACTTCACTTTTCTAAAATTAATGTCTAGATCAGTTTTGAATAAACAATTCAAGATATATTTATCAAACTCCATATGCTGATACATACTGCTGAGAGCTATTAATACATCAACTTATTTTGACCTTGAATTTTCCTTTGACCTTGACCTCACTTTTTAAAATATGTGTTTATCTAAGTTTTAAATAAACCATTAATTATAGTTTTATCAAACTTCATATGCTAATAGTAAATTCATACTGATGTAAGCTTTTCAACTGCAACAACATTTTGGCCCCAACCTTTCCTTTGACCTCTCTTTTTTTAGAAAAAGTGTTCAGCTCAGTTTCATTAAATCATTCAAGATATTTTTATCAAACATAATATGCTGATATGTATTAATGAAGCTACTCAACTGCATCAAAAACTTCACCTTGCACATTCCTGTGACCTTGACCTCCATCCTTTTTAATTTGTATTTCGCTTAGTTTTAAAGAAATGATTTAAGACATTTTTAAAACATCATTTTTCGACCCCCATTAGTCCCCCCGGGGCAAAATCAAAATTCTGAAACCCTGCTGTACATCTACATGACACTATCAACCATCTCCCAAAAGATGATTAGGCTACTGTGTAAAATGTAAGAGGAGTTCAGGGAAGACGGGGCTTTTTGCATAAAAAACATCATTTTTCGACCCCCATTTGACCCCCCGGGGCAAATTCTAGATTCCGAAACCTTAATGCACATCTACATGACACCACCAACCATCTCCCAACAGATGATTAGGCTACTGTGTAAAATGTAAGAGGAGTTCAGGGAAGACAGGGCTTTTTGCATAAAAAACTTCATTTTTCGACCCCCATTTCACCCCCCGGGGCAAAATCAAAATTCCGAAACTTTACTGCACATCTACATGACACCACCAACCATCTCCCAAAAGATGATTAGGCTACTGTGTAAAATGTAAGAGGAGTTCAGGGAAGACGGGGCTCTTTGCATAAAAAATGTCATTTTGCGACCCCCATTTGACCCCCCGGGGCAAAATCAAAATTCCGAAACCTTACTGCACATCTACATGACACCACCAACCATCTCCGAAAAGATGATTAGGCTACTGTGTAAAATGTAAGAGGAGTTCAGGGAAGACGGGGCTTTTTGCATAAAAAACGTCATTTTTCGACCCCCATTTGAC